ACTTAATAAGCGAGAAGTTGGAAAAGGGTCTAAGGAAAAAAGTCAATGTAAAAGCACCTTACAAAGAGTGGCATCTACTGGAGACATTCTCTGTGTTCATGTTCCTTTGGTTTAGTTACAGAAGAGCGAAATTCGCGATAGCCAAAACAGCTTTCTAGCACTAAAGTCGACTTACACCCGACTCTCTATATGAAAGAACACAAGGGCAAGTACCTTTTTTTTTCTCGGCCTCTCCGATATATAAAGGGAACTCTTTTCTTTTTTTTTTTTTTTTTTTTTTTTGACACTTCTTTTCAACTGGCTTCGTGGGTTTTAAGTGCTGGTTGCGACCACTGTTTGTTGAATGGGGAACTGTGAGTACGACTATGGGGGAAAGAGCAGCAGGGGACTGTCTGGGAGACAACTTAGTGGCCATATAGCGCCTGGCTGCTTCTCGGTGAAGACGTTACATTTCACGCTACTTAGAACAGCATAAACTATCATGACATAACACTCTTACGATTATCAAGGCTTTGTAATGTAAAGGGTCGTCGTATTGAGGAAGTTTTAGGGCTGAAAATAATATCGTGAATGATAATATTTGCATAGATATTTTTAATATTAAAATTTACTCCGTACAAGTCTCCAGAGCCACTCAAAGTAGAGGGTTACTGCTAAAATGATAAAAATCAGAGAGGCTATGGGATATGAGGTGTTGGATTATGAGGCTAGGTGACGATCGATAAGATGATTTAACTTAAGCTTCCAATGAAAGATGGAATTTCCACTATTTATATTGTTTGGACTGTTGGCCTCATCTTTATTGTCATATTCACGACGTTTCGCCCGTTGTATACTCCAGCCTTCTTTAAGTGATATACATTTGAAATCTCGAATCAAACTCTTTATTTCGTCTACGGAGGTAGATTGTTCTAGTTCCACGTGTCATGCCTCTTCCGGATAACTCAGTTTCAGTTATTTTCCCTTTTGTTCACTTCTGCTGTGGCGAGGTATTGAACTCACAATTCTTTGGGTCAAGTTACTGGGTTACTTCAGCCAACGCTTTAACCACTGGGCCATGTCCTTGGAAAGCTGAGTTACTAAGAAGGGAAGTAAATGAAATTGAGTTATCCGGAAGTGGCATGGCACGTGGAAATAGAACAATCTAACACGGTGGACGAAATAAAGAGTTCTGTTCGAAATTCCAACCTGAAGAAAACCGGAGCGCACAACGACCGAAACATCGTGAATATGCAATAAAGATGAAAACAATAGTTAGAAAATGTAAATAATGCAAATAGTTACAATACCTCATCTCAGAAACATAAACCATAGCAGTGGTGAACCAAACTTGGAGAGTTGATTTAAAGGGAAATAACTGAGGCATTCCAGAAGAGGCATGGTACCTGGAACTAGAACAATTTACCCCGGTGAACGAAATAAAGATTTCGATTCAAACTTTCCATCACCTGAAGAAGGCCGGGCGTACAACGGCCGAAACGATGTGAATATGGCAATGAAGTTGAGGATAACAGTCCGAATAATGTAAATAATGTAAGTAATATACACTACATTTCAAAAGTTTGTGGAGAATTCTGGTAATTTTTTAAATTGGCCCCAAAAGTAGTTGTTCTGTACTTTAAATAAGAAAAAAAATTATTATACACGGTTAAAAAAGTGAGATATGATTTTTCATTAGAAATTTTATTATGGCAGAAAGAAAGAACGCGTTTTATGATTAAATTTTGCTCTCGTCAAAATATCCTCCTTTAGCCTTGATTACTGCAGCACCAATTTTGGGCATTCGTTGCAAAAATTTTCTCAAAAGTTTGATAATTGATTCCATACTTTTTTATGACTCTAAGAGCTCTTTTTTCATTTATTGCATAGAAAGGTTCCATTCTTCTGTTCAGCTCCTCCCCTGCTAATTCTGGAAGTCGTTTCAAACTTTTGAACTGTAGCGTATATTCTAGCACTCGCCCGGATATGGCAGTAATATTCAATGCACCGACAAATAAATATGCAAGATGTATTCTAGCGAGAAAAATTGTCTGGCAGGACACATTGAAACAATTTTCCAAGCATTATTCTCAAATAATAATTGTTATGTCATCTTTTTTCTTTTATATAATTATGCATAAAATAAAACGTCTTGTCTCTTTATCCCTGTTACCCCTTTATCATATCTACAAACGGGGGGGGGATATTCCTGTTTGTTTTATAGAATATTCCTGTTTGTTTTATAAGCAATTTAAGATTTTGACCAGGATTCAGGTTGTTTAATTTTAGCACAAGAATTAGTATTCAATTTGTTTAAAAAGTTACTCGAGTTTTTATCGATGGATGTAATAATTTAAAAGAAAATGTCATCTCAATCTAACTAAACTAGCAGAATTGGTCGAATTCGTGAATATGGTATCAAATAGCGTATTTTTTTTCTGCCTTTTTTGAATTGCTTAAGCTACAACGGCGCTATTAGTTGCTTAAATGCTTGCTTCCATTTTATATGTTTGGGTTTAATAAATAGAAAAAAAGAGATGATAATTTAAATAAGTTAGTAGAATTGGTAGAATTCTAAAATACAATACAAAATAACTTACTTAGTAAACACATTTTTAGGTTTATCTGTTTTATATCATTTCTTTTTTTTAGCTTCGTAAGCGACATTATCGTTATTAGTTGCTTAAAGGCTTGCTTAAATTTTTATGCTCGGACATAATAAATAGAAAAGAAAGAAATGCAATGCATCTACACCAACGGAATTGGTAGGAACCTTGAAAACAATTTAACATAATAGAGAAGAATTTCAAGGTTTAATTTTCTGTTTTTTTTTTTATTAATTTTTTTTTTACATGTTTATGCCATAATGACGTCAGGAAGGAGTTGCTTAAGTTTAGTCAAATCTGAGTTGCTTATAAAAACTATATATATATATATATATATATATATATATATATATATATATATATATATATAATAAATATAATATATAATATATATAATATAATATATAAATATATAAATAATATATATATATAAAAATATATATATATATATATTATATATATAAATAAAATATATATATAAATATGATATATATAATATATATATATATTATAAACACACACACACTTATATATCTCTCTCTCTCTCTCTCTCTATATATATATATATATATATATATATATATATATATATATATATACAGGGTGTATAAAATTCTTTTACAAACTCTGGGGGCGGGTTCCTCACCAAACCAAAGACAAACGTCTATATAAACATATGTCCGTAAATCTTTCGTTTTTGAGTTATTAAGTTAACCTTGTTTTGGTGTGAGGAACACGCCACCAAAGTCTGTAAAGGAATTTTTGTATTGTATCTTGAAATGTACATTTAACAGCGTCTACCGTAAACATTAAACTTAATAACTCAAAAACGAATGATTTACGGACATATGATTATATGGACTTTTGTCTTTGTTTTGGTATGAGGAACTTGCCCCCAGGGGTTGTAAAAGAATTTTTGATACACCCTGTATCGATAAATATAAGATATCGTACATTGAGTTCTTGTGTTAATAAAATAGTACTCTATGTAATATAACAGAGCTATTACGTATATATTAATAAATATACATATTATTTCCCAATATTATTGCCCAATTTTCAGGTGCTGAGTAGATTTTATTGGATTTTGACCATTCTTCGAGTTACATCTTAGTTTTTTATTCAAGAATTCATGCTCGATTTGCATCAATGATTGTGTAGTGTATTGGTAAATAGGAATGTACCTATTTGCATATGTTAAGTAGAAGTTATATACAGTGTATAGTAAACTAAGAAACAAGTAAGAAATTGACTACTGGTCACGTGTCGTAGAACAGAACAACACAACATAACAATAGGGCGTCGCTGATAGGATGTTTAAGTCAATTGGATAAACCAGAATTTGTTGAGGCTTTGATCTGGTGGTGTTTTGCAACCCGGTCTAGGGCTAAAAAAAATGAAGACAACGAGGAAAAGGGTGGTGGGGGAGTAACTGACCTCTTTCTAACTTCGGAAGGTTGTAAAGCAATAACGAACATTACGAACATGGGCTATTTTTTCTGTGTGCGTAGCTTCGTTATCGGCGTGCAAGGTTCAAGTTCAAACCCTGTTTTTTGCTTTCTCTTTTGCACAAATACTCTTGAGCAAATGTATGAATCAATCTCGTCTTCCATATAGCGTAAATAGCAGGGCAGACTGGTTTTTCTAGCCTTGGTTTTCTCACCAGTTTAGGAGATGGACAACTCTGAATGCAAAACAGACGGAAGATGTCAACTACACGCCGTAAAATAAAACTATTTGCTACGGCGACCACAGTGTGTGGTGATACTGAGTTTCTATACTTCACAGGAAGAGTAAGGAAGATATACATATCTATCTATCTATCTATCTATCTATCTATCTATCTATCTATCTATCTATCTATCTATGTCAGTCTGCTCGTATCTATCTATCTATCTATCTATCTATCTCAGTCCGCTCGTATCTATCTATGTCAGTCTGCTAGTATCTATCTATTTGTCTATCTATCCATGTCAGTCTGCTCGTATCTATCTATCTATCTATCTATGTCAGTCTATCTATCTATCTATTGACTAATATTTTTACTAACGAATGACGCAATGTCTGTGAGAGTGAAATTAATGTTTTTATATGGTTTAAATTAGCCTCGTGCAAAATAGGTCCGTTTATTTTATTAATTCATTCATCTTTTACGGCTTATCAACCCTTCCCCAATTAATTAAAACCATAAATTACTTTTTAGATTGCAAGAATCTTTTATTTTGGAGATAATAATGGTTTAGCGATACAAGTCTTACTAATTAACTTATACCTAGGTGTAGAATAAGGTGGAATGATACCTTACCTATGAGTAGTTGCGCATAAGTAACTACAACGAATCCGAAGTGAATTGGAACTCGGATCTCCGATTAACAATTCCGAGCCATTAACCATTACACCAGCAGCACATCCGAACATACAGCATCTGGTATTCATAAGCGGTCAACCATCTAGGTAGTGACCTGACTCGACGGTGCTTAACTTTGATGATCGTACGGGAACCGGTATTTCAACGTGATATGACGGGGCCTGCTAGGCGTTCTGAATGACACGTCTAATTTCAGGAGGAAAACTTATAAAAACTTTCTCTGTTTTCTTTCATTGACACTTTGTCGCTCCCACACGCTCTAATATACAGGCTGCATCAAAAATACCTTGGGGACGGGTTCCTCACACCAAAACATATGTCCGAAAATCCGTTTTTTGTGTTTTTAAGTTTAAAGTAAGTTTACGGTAGATGGTGCTGAGTTGATATATGGACTAGGTTACATTTGTCATTCGTGTACATTTGTGTCTAGTCTGTCTTCAACGTTTAACGTGTGTAGTAATGAGTTAACTGCGAAGTGTTCCGTTTAACAATGGCGGGATCTCGTGAGCAGGCAAATATTTTTTTCACAAATGGCAATGGACGCGAGGCTGCACGTTTCCAGACCGAAGGCAGCCGTCATTCGACCTTTGCTACTGTTTATCGTTGCGTTGTTGAAACAGCATCCGTGGAGCCACAAACTATGGTAATAGGTATTTTGGGATTGTATCTTGGATTGTACTGGGTTATTAAAAAAGAATGAACCGATTTCATTACGCAATATTTTAATATGGAAAAACAATAGAAAACTCCAGCCAATTCACAAGTATTCTACTCACAATCAACTTTTATTTCTTGTCTTACAAATGTTCAATGTGGCCAGCACCTGCAGCACAGGCAACATCAATATGGTAAGAGAATTCCTCCTCAGACGCGTATCAGTATATCAGAGAGAGAGAGAGAGAGAGAGAGAGAGAGTGTGTGTGTGTGAGAGAGAGAGAGAGAGTGGGGTAGTAATCCGTTGGTATATAATCCAAGTGAATCCTATTAAGAATATAAAATAAGAAATATTAAAACTGATTCACGCACAGAGCTCAAAGTTTTTATAATATACAGAGCAATATACAGTGTAACCCGGATATAAGAGACCCGGATATAAGAGAAACCCGGATATAAGAGAGATTTTCTCTGGTCCCAAATTAGAGCCTGTGTTAATGTATATAAAATAGACCAAACCCGGATATAAGAGAAACCCGGATATAAGAGACTTCTTCTCCGGTCCCGACAACTCTCTTATATCCGGGTTACACTGTATATCATACAATCGGAATTTATCATCCATGGACTGTTTGAAAAATCCTGTAAATTTAATTTTGCAAGTTGAAAATGATCATTTACATAATGGTATCTTAATTCTGATTGTATGATATTCGCTATGTTTGTATTTTATAATACAATACTAACATGTGAATATTACATGCATTATTATTGGATACAGTTAAGTAAAACATCAGTCTTATCAAAATCATGTTTATTTTAAATACGGTTATACTTTTGTCTAGGTCAACGGCGTATCCGGGGCCAGCAGTACATACTAATTTTATATACTAATTTTGCATCTCGTGTATGATGCAAGACACTTAAAATTAGCTTAAAAATTAGGTCTTCAAAAGTCGCCTGATACACGAGTATACACGTTATATATATATATATATATATATATATATATATATATATATATATATATATATATATATATAGGGTGTATCAAAAATACTTTTACAAACTTTGGGGGGCGGATTTCTGATACCAAAGCTATGTGAAATGGGAAATTGAGTTGGATGGCTCGGCTGCCTCCAGTTGGAAGCGCAATCTGATACAGCCGTGCAGCCTCGCGTCCATTACCATTCGCGCGGCCGTATGTAAAAATCATATCTGCTTACTCACGATCTGAATATCCTGGCATTGTTAAACAGAACACTTCTCTGTTATCTCAGTACTACACATGTTGAACGTTAAAGACCCACTAGCCACAAATGTGCACGAATGACAAATGTAACCTAGTCTACATGGCAACACAGCGCCATCTATCGTAAATTTTTTTTAAACTTAATAACTCAGAAACGAAGGATTTGCGGACATATGTTCATATGAACTTTTTCCTTGTTTTGCCATTAGGAAACCGCCCGGAAAGTTTGCAAAATTATTTTTGATACTAGCTATTATATATATATATATATATATATATATAAATTTCGGCCTTATGTAAAGTCTATGCTAGGCTTAGTAAATCGTTATATATAATTAAATGGGGGATAATAATCACAACAGGAGTTACATCCCTTTGCTAATTTCTAATCTCCTAGATTAGATTGTTCGACTTCTCCCTTTTTTTCCCCAAGATATCTAACTGAACTACTACGCAATCAAGCATATATTTTCAATCCATGCTGAAACCAGCATGTATCTGTACATTTTCTTAATAAATTTTATTCCCTTAAGTACATCTATTTCTATTTTACGTTTCTGGTCGTATTAATCACACACGCTTACAAAAAAGCAACGTTATTCGACGACGAGAGGCCATTTTCCCATAACGCACGGGTGACTCTTTATTTGTCAGTCATTAAAATTATTTCACATCCTATAACAGATTGACGACCAGGTCATAATAGTTCAAAATAATTTTTTTTTTATCTTCAGAAGAAATATATTTTTATTAAAAAAAATTATTTTTTTTATTTTTAAATGAATAAATTAGAAATCAATTATACGCAGCGGCACAAGTTAATCGCACTGTTATCATTGATAATATATGAAGACTTCAATTTTATAATTATAGAAAAAAAATCTTTCCAGAGGTAAAGAAAAACAACTTTTCTCCCATTTGGCAGATGTTTACGTGTATGGTCGTCTATAGTATAAATGACTGACGCACTTTCAACGAAAAATTAATTTGGATTTCTTTCAGGAATGTTACCAACCTTATGAATGAGCCATATTTCATGTTGCCCACTAGCCGGGAAAGGTTGTGCAAATCTGGTTTTTATAATCTCCAATGTATCATTTGGCATCAATTTATTTAATTCGTTATTTATTAACTTTAAATGTGATTACGTATTAGGACTGAAAAATGAAAAATATTTTTTGTCTATATTTCTGAGATGAGGTATTGTAATTATTTGCACTATTTACATTGTTCGGACTATTGTCCTCATCTTCGTTGCTATACTTACGACGTTTCGGCCTTTGTACACTCCAGCCTACTTCAGGTGAAATGGATACAATATAGGAACAAGTAATACGGAGTGGTAGAGAAAAACAATAATAACAATAAGAATTGTAATATGAGTTCTGGTAAAAAAATCGCTAATGAGACATTAGGCTTATAAGTCCCCAAAATTCATACGTGTCCTCAAGGCCCAGTGGATAAAAGATTTGGTTGAATCCAGCGATTTGACCCGAAGAGCTGTGAGTTCAATACCTGGCTACAGCCGAGGTGAACAAAAACTTGGAAAGGGAGATAACTGATACTGCCAGATCCGGCAGAGGCGTAGCAGGTGGAACTAGAAGAATCTACCCCAGCGTTCAGTTTTAAATTCTAAACACCTGAAGAAGGCCGGGGCGTATAACGGCCGAAACGTCGTGAATATGTCAACGAAGATGAGGTCAATAGTACTGTTTTTTTTATTATTATTTTAAATTCTGGAATGAAATACGTTAATAAAACTATATTCTTATTTCTTAACAACTTCTATAATCTGTAAAAACACACCTGTCGTATCTTAGTTGTAACTTTTGATCCCGTGAGATGCAAAGGAAAAAGTTTGAATTTTCTTAATGAGTGTTAATGAGTGTTCTTGACACGGCAGGCTTACGGCCACACCACGTTGAAACACCGGTCTCCGTATGATTACCGAGGTTAAGCAACATCGAGCCTGGTCAGTATCTAGATGAGTGACCGCTTGGAAATACCAGAAATTGTAAACTTGGATGTGCGGGTGGTGTAATGGATAATGGCTCGGAATTTTTAATGGGGAGGCGAGTTTCAGTTTAAGCTAGGTTCGTTGTATTGACTTAGAGGCATAAAGGCACGAATCCATCTCTTCTCTTCAGCTATGAGTTTATTAGTAAGATTCTTACAATTCTTACAATCCAGAAACATTTTCTGGCTTTAAATAACCTGAAAAGGGTTGATAAGCCGTAGAAAACGAATCAATCAATCAGTCGACGCGGGACTCTCAGCGTTTGTCTTGCTACAGACTTAAGACAACACATTTTAATACAACCGTTATTACATTATTTACATTATTCGGACTATTGTCGCCATATTTATTACAAGGTTTCGGCCGTTGTACGTTCCGGCCTTCTTCAGGTGGTTGGAATGTCGAACTTAACCTTTTATTTCGCTCACTGTGGTAGACTGTTCTAGTTCCACGTGCCATGTTTAATGGATGTCAGTTATCAGTTATCTCCTGCTAATTCCCCTCTGAAAGTTCTCCACTGCCTTAACCGGGTATTGAACTCACACTCTTTGGGTCCTGTCGCTGGATCTAACCAACGCCTTTATTTACTGTGCCATGTGTCCTTGAGGACACATGGCACAGAAGAAGGCCGGAGCGTACTACGACCGAAATGTTGTAATAAATATGTCGACAAAGATGAGGACAATAGTCCGAAAAATGTAAATAATGTACATAATACCTCATCACAGAAATATAGACAGAAAGCTTTGTTAGTTTTACCTGATCATAAAAATAGATTTTTTTTTCAGAGAGAGAGAGAGAGAGAGAGAGAGAGAATGCCACTTCAAGCTTTTTGACACGCAAAACTCGAGGCTCCCACAAAAAAGTAATAAAATTTTTGTCTGTAAATAGAAAAGCAAATAAAAGCCTAAAGAAAAGAACCGGACGTGAATGTTTGTTTGTGTTTTGAGTCGGCATCTGAGAATGTCATGTCGCTTCTTGATTATTTCCCCCACTTTTCCTTCTTGGCGGTTGTAGGGGAATATATTCTATTTATCGTAATATATTAATCACTCGCTTATCGATTTTTCCCTGCCTATTTCAACAGATCTTATTCGTTCGCCTGTCAACTGTATTCCGTGTGTGTCTGTTCCTTTACTTCTCGCTATCTCTCGTCAGATCTCGCCGTCTGTCAGCCCGGCTCACGATAACAAATGACGGCCGGCAATTATATATCTTTCAACAACTTCTTTCCTACATTCTGACAACGGTGCCCTCTCTTGGCGGAGGTGAAGGGGATTGACAGCGAAACGGGTAGCGGCGAGAGTCGGGGGTAATGGCTGGTTTGTTGTGTTTTCTTTTCCTCCAGCTTCCCCTTTACTTGCTTATTTCCTTTTTTTTTTCCTCTTCAATCTGCGTCCTTCGTTATTTCTCAAAAAGTTGTTGAGCGCATGTATGAAAACGCACTGTTTCAATTTTTCTTAGTTTCACGTATTTTTGTCTTATAACAGTGTAACCCGGATATAAGAGAGTTGTCGGGACCGGAGAGGAAGTCTCTTATATCCGGGTTTCTCTTATATCCGGGCCTCTTATATCCGGGTTACACTGTATATCAATTTCTACAGATTTACACGACTTATTTGTGCTAAATGCATACCTAACATACAAGTAAGAGAATATTTGCATGATGTGTGCACACATACTGGAAAGTCAACTAGTGTCCGAGTATGGCCATTTCCATGACTTTTATTTGTGGATTTCTTTACTGTTGAAGCGGTCTGTCAGGGATTCACCAGGCAAATAAATGAAGACGGTATTTTACCTGAGAACTTCTCCCAAGGCGTGATATGGCACAAGGCCGGTTTTTAACGTGGCGCTATTCCGAGCGGGTACGCTTTGGCAAATATTCCCTGTAGACTCCGGATGCACGGGGTCGGGTGGCTGACTACCTCTCCAGACGAGACTCTGCCCGTAGTCATAGCCTCGTCTGGATTCCTCTCCGCCCGAAGTCGAGAGAGTCGACAAGAAGAGTTTTGGTGTACTCTACAAATAAATGTACACTATTTATCTGCGACCTCCCCATAAGTCGGGATGTCGTGCAAGGCCGTTTTTTTTTGTGGGGGTTATGAGCCCGATCTATTGGCAATTTTTACACGAGCCTACGGGCTCGTAACCCCCACATAAAAAAACAAAAACGGACGAGGCTATGCCGAAGGGCAGAGTCTCGTCTGGGTTCCTCTCCGTCTAAAGGCAGAGAGTCGACAAGAAGAGTTTTGGTGTACTCTGGAAGGAATACCTTGGGCTTACATTGAGCTCCATGACAGAACCCATTACAAAGAAGAGGTAAGACAGACCAATCCAATAACGGCAAAGCATTAGTTTCGAAAAGTGGTGGTTGTGAGTTCAATTCCAGTGCTAGACAATACATAAATATATATAGAACAATAACACTTACCGCTGATGACGTTTCTGGTGACATTAGTCCATAGAGTGACCTACACATTAAGCCACAGGCTTTTCAATTAAGTTTACACGTCGCTGCATTTGTGTCATGGTGCTGTGACATGCAGTGCTTAGTAAGTACACCTGTTGACCTGCACATTTTGTTGCATAGATTGCAAGTGAAAGCAGGTTGGATATCATAGTGATAGGTTTGATTGGCTGATTTATTTTACGGTTTATCAACCCTTGATAGGTTATTTAAATTATTTTAGATTGTGAGATTTTTGACGATAAGAATGATTTACTGATGCATCTCCTACTAATTAACCCATAGCTGGGGGTAGAATATGTGGATATTAACCAACCCGATGGAAATTGGAACTCGATTATACGATTTCCAATTCGGAGCCGTTATCCATTATTCCATCGCACATATAATGTTATAGCACTTTGTATTCCAAGCGATCACCTATCAATTATAGTTTAACGTATTTTTGTTTTATATCAATTTTAACACATTTGTATGGCTGGACGTTGCGTAACTTCAATGAACTTACGAAAACATGTGTTTCGACGTGATTTGGCAGTAAGCCCATCGTGATAGGGTGATATAGCGTAGCTTAGATGTAGCACAAGGCCTAAATTAGGGGCACCTATTGAGGATCGAACTCATTACTCAGTTGTAATTGTTCTAGTGGGATAAGCTTGTTAACCATTACACTGCCTTGAGTTGCCCAAAGCCCATAGTGATATATAGTTTTATCTCTGTGGCGACACGTATGACCAATCGAATCTGCCTTTGAAAAGTATACGCATCCACACTGTGCGCAGAATTATTCTCAACAACTTCTATAAACTTTTATATATCGTATATACTCGTGTAACGTGCGATTTTTATTTTAAACTTTTTTAAAAGTCGCATGAGACGCGAATATATATGCCATATGTAATAAGCATACATGAATACATACGAATACATACAGCTCGGTGTTTGTGTGCGTGTGTGTGCATGCGTGTGCGTTTGATCACTCTCTCCCTATCTATCTATCTAGGTACAAATAAGTTTACGAATTCCTCGTAGTAAGACAGTATATGTATGGAAGGGAAATATACGCACGCATATATACACGCATGCTGACAGAAACGCACCAAAATGGAAACAGATCCAAGAGCACATAGGGGTCACTAAAACATTAAAAGATA